TCCTTTTGTCGATGTCAAAAAGATTTGTGAAATAAATTTAACAAGATATATTTAATTACCATTAGACAGAACCCAGGCATCATTTCCTCTAAATTCCATAGTCCATGTTATTCCATCTCTCATCCATGCATTTGGAAGTTGATAAATCTGTAACAAACTTATTTATTGGATTATTAGCTTTAAAAACATAACACAAAAATTCCACACCACTAAAACAATCCCGAAATTTGGAAAAAAAGCAAATGAATAGCCAGAAGGGCTAGACTAATGAAAAGGAAACTGCGATACAATAGCCAGAAGGGCTATTAAAAAACAAGCATTTCTTGCAATAATACAATAACCAGAAGGGCTACTGTACAATTATCTACGTTACAAATCCGAGGAACAAACCGTATCTTGCTTCGCAACAATTCATTAGCACTAATAGTGAAATAGGAAATTCAACGCGAAAAGTGCTTTGTCATGTTTAAAACTCCCGAAAAAAAGTACGCGACGTTATTAATCTATGCACTCATTTAAAAATGCGCAACACTAATTGCGACGCGTCCAGCTGGAGGTTGCTGATGAATAACCAGTTCTGCACAGCTCTTGTAGCTGCATCAGATGATCCAGGAGCAGGTACAACCTTCCACGAATCTAGTGGAAGAACTTGAGCATTTTGTAAACGCAACGTTACTTCAAGAAACGCGATCATTCATTACGCAACACTAAGAGGAAAACTGATCGCGATGGAACAATATCGCAACACTAAGTCTAATCCAAATTCAATTAAAATTATTATTAACAATACAAAAGCTACTGTATGAACAAAAAGCTACTTTAAATATTCTAACACTGTAAAATTAATTAACAGCAGTGACTCTATAATCTAATTTAAAACAATGGAAAGCAAGAAAAATTTTGCTGTGTATAACACTAAGACAACCATAAAAATTCAAATCAAAATTGCAAAAGACAATCGCGGTATCATAATTCGCAACTCTAAAGCAAATACGATTATCATTTCTTCGCAACTCTAATTTAAACCGTAATCAATCTCTCGCAACACTACAAAGAAAAACCGCGATTTGCCCAAAATGTTGATGAACGGTGATGAAAAAGGAAAAAAAAATACAACTACAAATACTAAAAGAGCATAGTGACAAAGTAGTAACGAGAATGACTTCCCATGCTCTGGAACCATTTAAATGATCCAGAGGATGTGATGCCATTTGTTGTGACCCTCTTCGTGGCAGTTTGCCGGGCCTCTTCGGCTTTTAGCCTCTTCTTTCTTCGAGCGCAATGCCCGCTGAAACTTACGTCTAGCTCGAGTCTTTCTAATCGCAAACCAAAAAATAACTTACAAAGGTAAAATAAAAAAAGCTGACCCTAATGCACATGGACGACCATCGATCATAGTGATCGTTGTCCGTTCGCACGTGTGTGCTCGAGCAATACCTATATAAACGTTCGTTTCGGGACCTATTCGCGACCTATCCGCGACCGCGACCGCGATACTAAATTCGAAAAATCGAAGAGTAAAACCGGAAACAAGGCATGCTCCACTTGTACCAATTTCACTGTCGATTTTTCAAATTAGATTTCCTGAAACAGGTTGGACACGCGAAAGGGGGACA